AGCCCAGCTGTCAATGCCCCTTCGATGCTGCCTCGTTTCAGTGTGTCACATGTACCTATCCTGACATCACTCTGACAACTCATACAACTCATCAGCATTTTGATGGCGGGGCCGAGAGGAAATGGTGGTACGCACTGTTGCATCATTTGCTTCGTCTCCCATTCACATTTGTCTTTTAGATGCCTTTCTCCTTTACGTTGACTCTCATTTCTCGTTACCACTCGTTTGCAGGCACTCACGTGATGGAGGGCAGTGGCAAGATGGTGGTCACGGCGGTTGGTGTCAATTCGCAGGCCGGCATTATATTCACCCTGCTGGGGGCGACTGAGGGAGAAGACATGCAAAGTAGTGCCGGACAAGCTGGGACTGCAGTCCAGAAGAAGATAAAGAGCAAGAGCAAAAAGAGACTCACACTCAATCAGGACAAGGTCATCCTAAACGAGGACTTTGGGCCTCCAGGTGAGTTGGTTGGAGCGGCATAATCACAGCTGGCCTCGTCAGTTGGGGTTTGTTCGAATCACCCTTTACTCTCTCAACGCTGAGCTCGTTCACTCAAGCCACCCTTTTTCTATTCTATTCAATTTCACTTTATATCATTCTTTACATAATCCCCTGAATAAGTCCCATTCTCTCTTGCTAAGCATCCAGTTCTCTTTAATATCCCATTGCTTTTTTCATTATTGTGCTGTATGTTGTCCGCGCAGCATTTGTTTTTTTATGTCCACGGTTCGGAGGACACAAGGTTGGGCGATTTTTTGGTCCTATTCGGTTTATAGGCATTCTGTTTGCACAGTTTCTTGACCAGGATCTGATATTGCCATTTTGGCCCCTTACATGAATTACTCAATTGATGGTCTTTGACCAGTTGCTCTGCGATCGCGCCAACTGGACAACCTCGTCTTATCGGCGAGGGACGGAAGTTTGGCTCAAGTTGTACAATACAATACAATACCTTTTATGGGAGCTTCATTCACCATATTTAGTTTAAGCTGGTGAACGACTGATGGTTGAACTTGCAACAATCTTATAAATAGGCCTCTTGTTTCCATTCTAGTTCGCATTGCGTTCCTTCCAAAAAGCTATTCTCATCCCGTCTGGAGTGGACTGCCGTTTCCACCTCGCCTAGGCCTTGACGCGTTAATCACAGCTCCATAGTGCCACTAGTTTCCTCGGGTCAGAGGGCAGATGTGAATTTCAAA